TGCGATCTGGCACTCCATAGAACTGGACCCACGTTTGGAGAGCTCCCACGACAGCCTCCGCCGACCTATCCTGTACCCGATGTGCCATTGCCATTTTGCTAAAGAGGTCTATCATGGTAACCCATTTAAAGCCTCTCCACGTGAATGTGTCGATTTGCACATCTTTCAACGGCGTATCTCCTGTAGGGGTTTCTTCTTGTACTCCTTGAGGTGGTCGTCTGTCATACTTAGTGCGCGCGCACACTTCGCACATTCCAATGACTTCCGAGATCGTTTTCCGCATACCATCCCAATAATATCTCCTGCGTAATGCGTGGAATGTTTCCTGTACCCCCCGATGGTTCGTCTTGCCCTGGTGATGTGCCAGTGTCACCTCCCTTTGCTGCTCCCTGTCCATTAACGTTTCAACCAAGTATTTACATTTAATAAATGACCTGTCGACACCTATTTTCTCTGCCCTCCAGAGTTTCTTGATCTTTTCCCAAATGGTTGCATTGCCTACATACAGATGGTGAATTTTCCCCGACTCCGAAGCGTCGTGCAAAGCCTTGCAAATCTGTTCCTCTTTCACCCCTGGTTGGGACCAAATGGTATTAATTTTCTTCTTCCCATATTTAGTGAAGTCGATCTTCATAAGCCCCGACGTTCTGGTCTTCCAAATTACTTGTCGTCGCTTATCGTTAATGATCTCCTCACATTCCTCCATGTCGGTAGGCCTTTCATCCACCGAGCTCTCTTCTCCTCTCGATTCCTCTGTTCTCGCATCCCCGGGTTCCCCTTCACCTTCCGGTGTCCATGCTCTCAAAAACTGCCGCACGTCCCGCGACGACTCCCCTTCTTCCTCCTCAATGGCATTTATCATTACGGCTCTGGACAGCCAGTCCGCTACTATATTCTCCTTGCCTGGCTTATACCTGACCTCCATGTTATATTGACTTAGGAACTGCTTCCATCGCGTGACCCTTGCCGATGATTCCTTCAGGTTGCCCACCCACTGCAACGGTTTGTGATCGGTATGCACTTTAAACCTCCGACCAAAAATATACGGTCTAAAATGGCCGACCGCCCATACTATTCCCAAGAGTTCCCTTTCCAGGGCGCTATACCTTGTTTCCGCTTCTGTGAGTCGCCGACTCGCATACGCTATTGGCTGTTCCCCGTCCGTTCCTTCCTGCGCAAGTACTGCTCCCAACGCATACTCACTTGCGTCAGTGGTGATAATAAAACCCTTGTTAAAATCGGGAAAAGCAAGTACCGGCTTTTCTTGCAACCTTGCCATGCACTTCCGCACGTTGTTCTCTATCGCTGGTGTTATTGCGATCTTCCGGCCTTTCTTTAGGAGATTATTAAGAGGTGCTAGATATTCCGCCATCTCCGGGACAAACCGACGATAATAATTCAACGTCCCCAATAATCTCCGGATCCCCTTGACATCTCTGGGCATCGCCATCTTTTGTATCGCCTCTACCTTCTGCTTATCAGGCTTGATCCCTTCCCTCGAAATCGAATGTCCCAGAAAATTGATCTCATCCTGCCCCAGAATCGACTTTTCAGCAGACAATTTTAACCCCAACTGCTTCACTCTGTCAAATACGCGGCGCAAATGATCAATGTGTTCCGTTTCATTTTTACTGAAGACCAGGAGATCATCCATATATACCTGGCAGAATGCTTCATCCAGTCCCCTCAAAAATTCGTCCATAAACCTCTGGAAGGTTATAGGAGCGTTTTTCAACCCGAACGGCATGCGAGTAAACTCATAATGCCCCCTTTCGAATGAAAAAGCTGTCTTATGTTGATCCCTGGGATGCATACGTATCTGGTGATAACCTGCCTTTAGATCGAGAGTGCTGAAGATTGTGGCTCCGCTCAGTCTGTCAATGATGTCCTCAAATCGTGGGAGCGGGTATTTCTCATCCAAGGTATTGTCGTTGAGCTTCCTGAAGTCTACCACTACCCTATACTTCTCCTCCCCTGTCGTGGTCTTCTTCTTCACTGCCCATAGGGGACTGTTGTACGGTGACGTGCTATCCACGATTATGCCTTGCTTCTTCAAGCTCTCTATCTCATCCTTGATGTGTCTCCGTAGCGCTTGCGGATAACGTCGTTCCTTAACGTATGTCACTTTCTCCTGATTTAAAGGAATTTCATGGACCGTTTTCCCTGTCGCAGTCAACACTTCCCCGTCTTTAAAAAAAATATCCGCGTACTCCCTCTTTATCCTCTGTACCCAATGTTCCGCTTGTTCTATTGCCCCGACATTCCTTGTCCCGTCCACCCTCAATCGCTTACACCGATACTTCTTCCCTCCCATTCGAACAACCCAACCTGTACTCCTGTAATCTATCCTCGGCCTTACCTTACTTAATAAGTCACACCCTATTATGCCTCCGTACTCTCTCGGCATATTCTCCACCACATGAACCCTCAATTTCCCGATTCCGGCCACCCATCGATCCAGATCTAATTCTACCTCCCCCTCGACTCTACAAGGACCACCCAAAGTAATCAACTTACACTTACAATTTTTTATTTCTGGTATCCTCTCTCCTTCACACAATTCCTCCAGCATCTTTTTACATAATATTGTACTAGAGCTCCCCGTATCTACCAAACACTTCCCCCTCCCCACAACACTTATAATTGGCAAACCAACGCACTCACCTCCAATATTATTGACTACCGCGTGGCTGCCTCTCCTCTGCTCCTCTCCTCATTCGTCTGATCTTCCTCTCCTGTCCGCAACGGCTCCTCCTTCTCCACTTCTCCTACTACTTCTTCCTCCTCGAGCTCTTCTTAACTCCGTCTCCTCTTCTTCGGTTCCCGATGTCCCTGATGACTCATCTGACTCCGATACTGCTCCTCTCTTTCTCCACAATCTCTGGGCGTTCACTTCCATTGGTTCATCCCGGCCCACGTCTCTCCGTCTACTCATATACGGGCATTGTCTGGCGATGTGTCCCTCGGTTCCGCATTCGAAACACCTGGTTCGCGGGCAATTCGCCACTAGGTGGCCTATCTTTCCGCACCCGTGACATCTCCTGTCTTCCTTTGTCCATTTCTTCCTTTCTTTGCCTGGCTTTCTCTCTCTCATTGCCGGTCTTTCTCTTGTACTAACCTCTCCTCCTCTTTTCTTCCACCCCTCCTGTCTTGCTTTGAACCTCCCGGTTTCCGCCCTCCTATACGAAACCCTGTTCCATCCATACTCGTTCCCTTCATCCCCACGGGCTGCTTCTTCATCCCGAGCACTTGCATCTATCATCTCTTGAGCACACTCCACAAAGCTCTTGTCCCTCGGTAGTCCATCCTTCTTTCCAGTATCTCTCCCTAACTGAACTTTAAGGATGGTTGACAAAAATGCCATCCTGGCTCCCGTTTCCACCGCATCAGCCACTTCCCTCGTCTTCTCTGTTACGTGGTTAAATCGTGCCAGCAGATTTGCAGCATATTGCCCGTTGGTCTGATGAGGCTGTTTCCTTTCCCGGAACATCTGCAAGATGTCCTCCTCGGGCGCCCATCGACCTCCTCCAAACGCCTTCTTCAGCCGATCCTTCACAACATTCCATGGAGTGTCCTCATCCGCCTGAATCATATTCAGCACGCTCCTCTTAATCCGGCATACCAGGGCTGCCCTTAATGCATTGGCGTCCATCGGGTCTATCAGGTTTTCCTCCGCCTTAGCCAATATACGCGATATCACCCGATCGCCACCTTTTAGGAAGTGATTCAACTCACCTACTCCTCCATCGAATCTTTCCAAGTCGGATATCGCTCTCCTAAGATCCTGCGACGTCGCCGTTCTCACCTTCAACCACTCTAACGTAGTTGCATGTGCTGATGCCAACGTTTCCCTAGGTAGTGGAGGAAAATCCCTCGCTAACGCCTCTGACAGCGGAGGGAACCCCGGCGGTGGAGCCAACGGTGCTGCTGGTGGTGCTGTCGGCGGTGTCGCCTGTGCTACCTGCTGTGCTACCTGTTGTGCGGTTGATGCTGGTGGTTGCCCTATTCCATTCGGCATCCTTCCTCTTTTTTATTTCTTGTGACGTTAATAACAACAACGAAAAGAAAGAGAAAAAAAAAACTACTTCCCCGACTGAATCTAAAGGCCCCGGGTTTCGGCACCACTTACGTCAGTTCGAACAAGAAATAATAAAAAAAAAAACGGAAAAAGGATCCGAAATGAAGCACGTGGTTACTCAAAGAATACTGACTTTATTGCCTTAGTAATGCCATATATATAGTATTACACTTTGTTTACACTTCATAGATAGGATTAACTTAGGATTAACTGTTATACTGTCTTACCTCTAACCATAACTTATATATATATATATATATATATATATATGTGTGTGTGTGCATACATAAATAAATTATATCTTTAGAAGCAAAAAGAAGAATTTCTAAAGTTGGAAAAAAAAATAGAATTTTATTATAAGATATCTCACGTTATATACCATAGTCTCATTCATTTTTGTATTTTCATATATTATTTCTGATAATAATTTATATTCATTCTACAGATAATGAGTGTATTTAGAAGTGATGCTAAAAAACTAAGAAACGAAGAAATATGTTGAATTATAGAATTATGTCTAGAAAAATCGTGTTGGGACCACTGTGGGACGCCGTCGTCGAAAACTTGAATTTTGCTTATCAGACAAATCCCATACAAGACAAAAATAAAGAAAACCTCAAAACGGCTACCCCCATTCGATGCAACTTAGACCTCCCTTTTCATAACAAGGTTACTGGGCTACTTAGTTGATCAACTGCGTAGAAAATAAGGAGAGGGATTAAAGAAAGCGACAGAGAAGACTCTTAAGAGAGATAAAGACAAGTTCTGAATAATTTTAATTTCTTTACCTTAAATGTTATTAATAATATGTTAGCTAAGAATGGTATAATGGATTTAGAAAACTTGAAGATAGAAGGTAGGTTTGTTGTGGCAGAATACTATACAGTATGCAACAATTAGAAGCAGAGGATTCAAAACACATTTACCAAAAATAAAACTTTATTTATCTAAAGTTCACGGTATTTCGAATATTTCATCTTTTTACATAACAGCATGAATTTTTTTGTTTTTGGATTAATAACTTGCATTATAAATTGCAGATCTTTTTCATGTTTTTGGCGTAGTTTCCGTATTTTCAAAACTTTTTGATAGAACTCCAGATTTGCAAAAGGACTTGTCTCATAGTGGTAAACTCTGTCACGAAGCTGTCTTCTTTTGTAAAAATCAAGTGGATACGCCTTAAAATGGAGTGGAAATCTTTTCGGAAAGCAAATGTATAACATAAATTTATCTGCAAAGGGGATAATATGTTGAAAGTTAATATGTCCCAAACTCATAGTACCAAGCATATATAAAAATCCTTTGCAGAATCCATCTCCATCTGAAAGGGCAAAATGATTTAAATGTGAATAATTCATGAACAGATTTTATAATATTTATAAATATACGTTAAATAAATCAATCGATCTTTTTATTGATAATCACAACCAATGTCCATGTACAAAATAATTAAATCAAAAATATTTAAAAATATACACAGCCTTCGGGATCCTTCCAAAGAGAGAGTTTATGAAGATTCAAGCTCACAGCAACATTGAATGTAGTAATTTTTAACAGTAATGTTTTTTTTTTGGAGAGGAAAATTTTCTTGTTTTTTTTTTTAAACTTCTTTATTGAGATATTACAATCTGTCACATTCAAGGACAATAGTAATAGTGATATAGAGTAGCTCATTCATACTGTACAATAAATAAAAATAATAAACGGCAATATGATAATACTAAAATAAATTGTATATAAACTAAAAGATATTAAACTAAATAAAAATAAACCAATCTAACAAAATAAATAAACTAGACATACATGGCTTGGATTGGAGAATCTGGCCATTGCCATAACTCCCATACATTCTAACAACAAGTCTCTGGGCCACTGCCGCTTCAACCTTCGAGGAAGATTGTAGGGATGGCTGGAGCTAGATAGGGATTGTGCAATTGGATTTGGATGATATGTAAGGTTTTGGTGGAATTTGGAAAATTTTTGAGGGGTAAGGTCTAGGACAAATGGGATATTAAGGTCATGATTTAGGGACTTTGGACTGAAAGGATTGAATGCGTTTGATGTTAGAAAATTTTGCTGTCCCCCACAGTTCCAGTCCGTAGGTCCAAATAGGTTTCAGTATTCTCTTGTAGATCTGTAGTTTGTTGTCAATTGAAAGTTGAGATTTTCTGTTCGGTAGTCTATATAGCTGGCCATATCGTCGGTTGAGTTCTTGTCTTTTGAGTCTTGTATGTGGGTTCCATGTCAGTCTTCGGTCTAAAAGAAAGCCAAGATACCGGACTGTGTCTGAGTAAGGATTTCGACTCATTCACTTTAATACGCCATTCATTACACCAGTGCGCAATAAGGGAGAGGTGCTTTTGTAAATTTAAGGATGCTATTTATTAATGGAACAATGGAGGAGACTTAAGCCGCTGTGGATAAAGAAATCAAGAATATCAGGATTACGGTTAGGATCTGTGGGCCAGTAGATAGGAGAGTTGGGGGAAAGAAGGTGAAAACTTTGGGAATTGAGTGCAGACAGCAGGGTTCGGCCACGAAAATTCGTGGTTCTGGAACCCCATTGTTGGTGCTTGGCATTTAAGTTTGCACCCAAGATGAAGTGATGGCCTTGAAGGAATTGAGGAGAGAACTGAATTGGGCATTGGATATGGATCGGTTAGGAGGGAAATACGCTGATGCGAGGGTAACCGGAAAGGGGAAGGTTTTTATTACGATAGCGGTGTACTGTAGGAAATCGTGTGTAGGTAATGGGAGTAGGTGATGGGAGAGAGATCGGTGTACAATGACAGCAGTGCCGGCATGTGCTCTTCCGTCAGGGTGGTCAGTACGATATATCAGGTATTACGGTATTTTGAAGTGCTGTTTAGTGGTTAGTCGAGTTTCAGTAATTAGTGCCTCCTGTTTTTTAATATTTTTTTTGTTACCGGAGAACAGACATAAAATATATGTTGTCCATTCATTTTTTGATTGCGAACAAAAATACTTGCTAATTTTTTTTTAAATTATTTTAATGGAATTAACAACTGTATTACATAGAAAATACAATAAGTAAATGTGAAATTGGAAACATGACATGTACAACATGAAGAGAAACTACCCATTGGTAGAACTCAAATTAAAGTTCTATATTAGAAGATCCCGAAGCCATCGAGCAGGAAGCAAGGTTTGAAACGAGAGGATTCGGATGGTTCTGCAGTTTGTTATGGAAGGACAGGTATCTGGATTCGGCCAAATCGGAAACATATGGAACATTAAGGTCTTTATGGATGATTTTATTTGTGACAAAGTAAGCAGCTTTGAGGATTTTACGAAGGATTTTGGATTGTAAGGATTGGATACGAGAGGAATTCGATGGTTTAGTGGAGCCCCAAAGCGCAATTCCGTGAGTCCAAATAGGTCTTATTATTGTCATATATACGAGTCGTTTATAATTGATTGAAAGCTTAGATCGTTTGTCTAGTAAGTGGTGCAGTAGTCGAAAACGTCGGGCGGTTTCTAGTCGTTTCAGTCTGGTATGGGGGTTCCAAGTGAGTCGTTTGTCAAGGTGGAGTCCTAAGTATCGGATTTGTTCGACAGGGATAAGAGGGCTATTGTTGAAGGATACTGTAGGACAGGAAGTCATAGGTTTACGACGAAGAGTGAAGGTTATTTGATGGGATTTATTGGAATTTATTTTAATCCTCCAGTTTTGACACCATTTTTCAAGGCTTGTGATGTGTGATTGAAGAGTTTGGGATGCAATAGATGGATCGTTATTAACTGATAGGATACACGTGTCATCGGCATAGGTGGTGATGACAGTGTTGGATTGGGTTGGGATGTCAGCTGTATAAACTGTGTAAAGGATAGGACCTAGGATACTACCTTGAGGAACACCGGCAGACTGAGTAAAAAGAGAAGAATAAGCATTGTTATGATTGACTTTGAAGTATCTGTCAGTAAGGTAGGAACGGATAATGAGGAAGTATGTAGGTGGTAGGAATTCACGGAGTTTGTACATCAGTCCCGGATGCCAGACTCTATCAAACGCCTGTTCAACGTCGAGAAAGACTCCCGTGCAGTACATTCCTCGCTCCAATGCAGAGGAGACTACATCTACCACACGATGGCATTGCTGAATATTGGAGTGGGATGTGCGGAATCCAAATTGGTGATCTGGGATAATGTGTTTAGAGTCTAGGATGGGATACAGGCGTTTTAAAATGAGTTTTTCCAGGATTTTGCCCATAATGGGTAAAAAGGAGATAGGATGGTAAGAGGATGGGTGTTCTGGCGGCTTTGTGGGTTTAGGTATCATTTTGACAATGGATAGTTTCCAAGAGTCAGGATTTGCTAAATTAAAATGATTTTTTTGGTATTGATGTCCCGGTTGATGGCCCCTTCTCTCATTCAAGTTATAATTAAGAAATTTTACCAAGCAAAATAATATTTTTTAAAAACAATCTGTTTATACTTATTATAAAATCACTAGAATTCCCAATAAGCCTGGTTTCAAGAGGTTTTTTTATCGTTAAGAAGGGAAACGTACCCTTCATTTTAATAATTATAGGATGAAAAACTAACTTGCTAGCAACAAAAGAATGTTATACAATAACTCATTTAGAAAATTAATAAAAACTTTAATGTGTTCATTCACAGCAATTTATCCTTAGTTATTAATTTTATTAGCAGGTTTTGTTTCACTGGTAATGAAAACTATGCATTATTAACAGGTAATAACAAATCAATCTACTCCTGAAAGGTAATATACAATAAAAGTACTCATAAGCAATCAGCTAAAAGAAACAAAAAAAGGCTTTGTAAATAAAAAATTCAACACGAAGGTAGAAATAAAAAAAAAAATGTTGGAATACCTAATCTAGTGTACTTAATAAGTTGGCTAAATAACTTGGTGCTGATTTAGATTTAATAGCTGTAAAGTGATAACATATGAAACTTACCTGCTGGATTCTTCGGTAATAGACTTCGAACGTGTCCCCTCGTAATGTGAAGGTGATATTTTATATTATCCGGATAATATAACCTTATTTTTTTAGCAATGATCCTTTGTATGGCATCAGCCACAATTCGTACTTTGTTTTTTAGTTTACAAATTGTAGCTCTAAGTTGAGTGAGGTTACTGCACACTTTTCTCCGCTTAACGGTGAATGACTGATTATGTATTAGGATGTAAAGTAGGTACTTTCCTAGGGACTGAAAAAAATATTACACAAATATAAGCATTACTTTTATTATTTAGTATACTTATAGTTTAGGCAACTTTCTATTTTAATAAAAGTAAAGGCAAACAACTCTAATGAGTTCAACTCGATTTATAGACATTTCTAATTTAGATTTCTGATTTTCCGGACTGTTGCTGGTTAAAAATGTCTTTCGTTGAACTTAAGGCTGTGAAATTTTGGATGTAAAAGGCTCGGAACACATTTATGCGACTTTAAATTGTGACTTAACAAATTTGCAAAATTCTTTAAAGGTAGGAACTGTCTCTTCGCCAAGACTATTCTCAAACATTCTTCTTGTATTAGGGTCCACAGTGTTCAACCTGAGATGCAGTAAAACAAAATCAGTAAGGTTATTGAGTTTGATATTTTTAAAGGCTCTGCATCACTAGGCACCTTAAATGTGTCCAGAAACTTTCTTTAGTTGAAAGAATTATCGACAGAAAATGGTTTAAACGGTATAATTTTGTTAAGATGGTAGGCCGCAATGATTCTTTTATTACTATAACGCTTTAATAATTTATCATAAGCCAAATTGTAATTTTCTGCGTTGAATACAATAGAACAAATGGCCTGGGAAGCAGGTTGAAATATAAGTGACTTTAGATAAGAAAACTTGACTGTATCCGTGTAATTTCGATTATGAATCAACTTATCAAATAATGATTTAAACGAAGGAAATTGTTCGTATTGTCCAGAATATTGAGGAATCTTTAGCTCTGGAAATTTAGGATGTGCTATTGTTTCAGACATGCTGGGTTGAGAAGTGGGAACTATTATGTGCTGAGCTTCAATTAATCCACCATGAGCAACTTTTATCTCATAATAAATCTCCTCTGCTGCTAAATAAGACTCATCTACTTCAATCCCATGTTCCTTCTCTAAAGGCGAAATTCCACTGAGGCAACATGTTGCTTGATACTTGTTTCCTAGTGTTGCCTGCTGTAGTCGTCCGACTATGTGGCACGAAATTCAATTAATGTCGCATGCGGAATTGTTGCCCCACATCGTATGCGCTTTATCGTACATTTGTGTAGCATGCGACTAAAGCGATTCCATTCAGAAAACTTTAGTTTGGTACATCATGTCACTCAAAACAGTCGCGGTGGCTGCATATTTGGTGATCGCTTGGAATCATAAAAGGAAAAGAAAAACACCATGGTATTGGAGAAGAGAGCTATAAATCGATGTTAAAGGAATTCGGTCAAGGAAGCATTAAGTCATGCAGAGCTATGTAATAAAATGTAAAATATAAAAAAGAAATATGAAGTTATATAAGAAATGAAAATAAATAGTAAAATTAAAACATTGAGAATGGAGTAGTTAGATAGAAAATTGAGATATTGTAAAATCTATCAATTAATCTATTATACATTGTCTGTACATCTTGATAGACTTTACAATATCTCAATTTTCTATCTAACTACTCCATTCTCAATGTCTTAATTTTACTATTTATTTTCATTTCTTATATAACTTCATATTTCTTTTTTATGTTTTACATTTTATTCTAAGATTCCCATTTTAACATTTATGTCACCCTTTTTGATTATGCTTACTTTATCATTCCACACTTTGTAACGGTTATTATTATTTATCTCTTAGTTCTTACTATTGTCATTATTCTAACAACTTCATTTTACTTTATTTTTCTTTATTTTTTACCATTACTACTTATGTTTCTCATACCTTGTTATCTGGTTATTTTCTTAGCCCTGATGAAGGCCTGAACTTCAGGTCGAAACGTCGGCATATGTAAAAATAAATATTATCATTTATTTTTGCCTTCTTTGATCAGTCAATCACCCCTACTATTCTTCTCTTCATTTTATTCTATGAGTTTTTCGCTTAGAGAACTCATTCCCAAACTGCAGAGCCATTTATAGTAATTTGTCTATTTTGTAGTAATTATAGTAATTTTGTAAAAATCGACGTTCGTTGACCGTGGTTAACGAACATACCACTTAAACAAATTATTAAGTTTAGGTAATCGTTCGACGCACAATTTAGCTTTATTTAATTTGTGAAAGAAAAGGGTTTTCGCTTTGTAGCACCGTTTAGAAACTTACAGGTGAAAAAACATAAAAAGATCGAAGTAATCTGGCTTTTTTGGCTATAAAAAGGCCCGCGTCCCCAATTTTGTTTTTACGGGTCTCAAACAATGTATACAAGTTAAAAAAAAAAAACTTTTCACACATTTTTCACAATGAATTTCCCGTTTCGATCCTCAAATTACTGACCCAATATTCATAAAATCAGTCACCATTTTTACAGAAAGTAAGAACCGACTGGTAAACTCTATTTTTTAAAAATAAGATGTTATAAATATTTAAAAAATGCTTTTAAATTTTTCATCAAATAATATAGATTTTTTCTCATGGGCTCTCGGACTATTTGGGTTGCTAGCAAGTGTATTTCGTGGCATCACTGATCCTCATCATAGTGTCATCACCTAAACAATTAGCAGTTGACAATATTGATTTGGGTACATCGACGTCCAATAAAAAATTCTCGTAAGCAAACCACTATCCATTTTTGCTAGGAGATGAACCATTCTTTTTTTGCTGAAGTTGTTTGCGCTCGCAATGAAATGCTGACAAATTCTTAATTATTTTTTACCTCTATCGCCGAAAAATTGTATTTTCCTATTTATATAAATTAACTATTAATAAATAAACCAATTATTTTTACCTGCATTACCGTACAATAACTATATTTATCCGATAATTTTTTTAACTTATCATTTTTAATTCTTTTATCTTTGTATTCGGTGATTTTATTACTCCGTAATTCGGAAGAAAGACGTAATTTTTTCGTTCATCTACTCCATGTTGCCCGCAACAAACCGCACCGTTCCGAGGGCTGTTGGATAGACGGCGACGCTGTTCGTCACGTTGAATCATGTGGAGAGATAACACACTCGGTAGGCAACAACGGTCAACTTGTAGCCTGCGGCAATGAGACATATTTTTTGTCCCCTTGTGTTACTTCTATGGAAAGACCGTGTAGCAAGCGTCAATACCGTGTGCATCATGTTGCCTAAAAGTGGCCTCAGTGGAATTCCGTCTTGATGATTCATTTAGCACCGATCTTTTATTCAAAATAGCTTCAAATTCCAGCAGGCGAAATTTAATTCTGAAGCCCTAGCTATAAACATTTCCTTTCTAGCAGGGAGACCCTTAATCAAATCGAAAGTGGTTTAAATTCTAAGAAACAGCCTTTTTTTTTTTTTTTTTATCAATAATAGCTTTAAGTCCCTCAGTACCCTGAGTCGGCGACATTTTCAAAGTTATTAAAAATAAAACTTCCAAATTAAATTTTGATTGCTGAAGGCAATACCAGTGTTTTCCAAAATACATGCTAAGTTCAACAAAGCAGGCCAAAACAAGCAAGGGTTAACGAAGCCACTTAATTCCAGCAAGTCGCTATGCGTTCTTTCCTGAAAATTCCTTGAATCTTATCTCTGATTTTTCAACTTTTCAACACCTTGGCTTCCCCAAATACCTAACGAAATCACAAGAAACGACGTTTAAAAAAAAAAAAACGAATCAATAAGTGAAATACGAATTTTAAACCGAAATAGACAATCTTTACAAAGTTTCGCGTAACCTACCAGACAATTTTCCTCCTTCATCGCCAAATATCGCTAATGTGGCAAACAAAAAATATATATATAATCGTTTCCGGCTATTTAAAGTTGTCAAGGTAACTTTGTATTTTAATAAAAGTAAGGGCTAATAACTCTTATGAGTTCAACTTAGGCAACATTCGACATTATTTTGGCAGTGGACTGTATTTTATTGAATGGTTGAATGTGTTGTAACTCAACCTTTTATGGTGGCAAATGAAGATTTTACGTGGCTGTGAGGGTGCTCTCCAGTCTTAGATGTTCTGGTCCTCTACTCAAATGTTTGGTCAAAAGTGGGCCGAGAGAGGCCCGTAGCTTAAGCCAGTTAACTCTTATCAGAAGACGGCATTCGAGTATTAAATTAAATCCACAAAACACGTATATTTCATTTAAAAATAGAAAAGAAATATAAACTTTGTCCAAGGAATAATACAATGTACGGTTAATATTGGTAGAGAAGATTGGTTGAGTTTTTTATTGTATTTATTTATTTATTTTTTTACTGATCACCCCAACCAATCTTCTCTTCATTATACACTACAGTCAACTATCAGTTTACAATTAGTTAATATTGGTAGTTATCTTCCACAATTATAATACTGATCAAGAGCGGATAAATGATCTTCAATGATTACAACCTGGTAAAGGAAGAGGTAGTATATTAAACATTCTAAGAATGATAAAGGTTGGATGGCATTCTAGGAATAGGTAGAATTAAGAAGGATCTGGTTAGTGATTTTGCTGGATAAGATCATTAAAAGTCGGCTACTGTATACTATAAAATATTATAAACTTTATAACTGCATGATTTCTTCATTTTCCAGTGACGATTTCAATCTATCTGGCGGAAACTTAGCCGATGTGCACTAATTTTTAATGCACTAATTAAAATAATTATATTTATAGTCACATAGAAGGTTTTGATACAACTTTGATTTAGTTTTTGATATATAATAGCAAGGAATGATATTTCAATACATTGAAGTAGGCTGCGATTGGGTTTACATAATTGTAGGCTCATAGATACACGAATTGTATGAAACTGGAATAGTTCCAACTTCAGAAGAAAGGTAATGCATTGGTACAATATGAAGTAACTTTTGGTCCCGCTGTACTCACTAACACTAGATGTTTTTTAGATCTTGAATCTAAAAGGGCAGTGTTAGACAGTCTGATGTCGCTGCAAGTCGTAGAATAGTATATCTCAGCGCACGAACAGATCATTTGAAGCTAATTGTACGGTTGGGAGTTTTGTAAAAGTCAACGGTACTTTAGGCATAGAAATTCGTATTTGTAAGAGGTAAGTAGAAAGAAAGTGAATTATAATGGAAATGGTCAAATGTCGTTTCCACCAGTCGAAGAATAATAATATAAAATACGGGAATCTCGGTGAATTTCAACAAAACATTAATAGCAACGTTTCAATTTTATTTCAAGCAGCATTAAGTGCCATCGGTCAAGTAATAAACGTAGAGAGACCATTAGTAATAGAGTGGATAAAGTACGGGACCAGAATATATTCGGAAAGGTCCGATATCATCCAATGACAAGTATATGGTGAAGAGGGAAAGGCGCGGGCTTAGACAAAGAATCTCTTTTTGAGTTGAAATACTTGGACGCTATTAATATCCAAGAGTAGGTTGCAAAGGCTTTAAACCTTCTGAATACAGCAGTTCTCATAACTGCTGTAATTAGGGAGACACACAGTCTTTGCTCTTCTAGCATCCAGGTTAGAATGACTCGATAGAGCTTACGATAAGGTCTGGTTACTGGACAAATTCACGATAGGATTAAAGCACAGAGATGCTTGTAATGTTGGATTTATTGTCATATAGCTTGGAGTTTTATCAGTGTGATGTAATTCTGTAATAAAAATACTAAAATAAATGTCTTTACAGTAAGTGCCATTTTATTCCTAGGAGTATTGTGGTGTTAAGATATTTTTTTGTTTTAAGTATCTATTGTTATTTACCTTGCAGTTTCGTTTCCAATCAGATTTGTGGTACTGCTCAGCAATAAGAGGAAAATAAAGTTTTAATTTCCTCCAGTGTGATGGAATACAGAGTTCCTTACTGTTATATTTAGCTGCTCTCTTGTCATAATATGACCACTCAGGACTGGAATGAATTAAAAAATGATAGTATAATTAAAAATTATATGATATAAAGTTTTATAATCTTAATCTAAGTAACTGATAGATATTCTAGGTCCACACAATAAGGGAATATAAAATTACATGAAAATGCATTCAAATCAAAGTCAAACAAATGATGTTGAACTCATTAGTATTTAAAAACATTTTTATGATGATAGACTGTAAAATGCCGCAAAGACATTTTTAATGAACATGCTATTATAGAATATGGATTCAATACATTTTCATTATTCAAAAGGTGAAAACATAAAATGTTATGTAAATGAAGATAGTTCAGGTTCAGGTCATGTTGACAGGTGTGGGTATATATATATATACTCATTATTAGAAGGAAGTTAGTCGACTGTTCTACATATCATGGATGATAAATATTCAGGACACAATCATTATAAGGTTTTTATTAGTGCCGACGTTTTAACCCAAAAGTGTGGGTCATCATCATGGGGTAGTTCGAGCACTGAAGGTATTCAAGTACTGGGCATTCAAGTTCAATGTATTCAAGTATTCTGTACTTGAATACATTCAGTGCTCGAACCACGCCTTGATGATGACTCACATGTTTGGGTTGAAACATCGGTACTAATAAAAACTTTATAATGACTGCGTCCTGAATATTATTGATATGTAAAAACAATGTTTCCATCTCCATCTAAAATACATAATGCGTATATCATGGGTGATAAATATTCAGGATTATGTATTTTAGATGGAGATAGAAACATTGTTTTTGCATATCAATGATGTTAGGGTTAATAAATGAATAAGAAGCTTTTATCAGTCTTTAGGAGAAAACTCACGTACAGCGCAATGGCTACGACTGAATGGGGCCTAAGTCCAAGAACACATCTATACAAAGAACAGTCTAACTATCAATGCCTACTATATAGGCAATTTGATATTTTTCAATATTTTTTTAAAAATTATTTACAACTGTATTAGTACATAAATACATCAAGTAAATGTGTACAGAGAAATATAATCAAATGAAAAAGCTTGTTGAGAAACTACCCATTGGTAGTACTCTAATAGTTTTTAATATCAAGGAATTGACTCAACAAACAATACTAAATGATTATTGCAGTGAATTATCACAAACATTATTATATCTTTGATTGTTAATATAGATTCAGCATAAACATGCAATGTAGTTCTATTCTGTTTAAAGTAAGTATGAAGAAAATATTATTTATGGGAGCAAATCCGGAAGGAAAAAGACAAGAAGATAGAAGTTCTTGCTAAGGTTTCATAGAAAAACTACGACGTCCAAAGAGGTATTTAGGTAAAGAAATTTAAATCTAGAGCGAGAAAATTCCAGGGCCACGAACAGGTGGCAGACTAAAGCTCAAAAGGTAACCAGATAAATTGAAATGAAAAATCCCAAGAAAAATACGGACTAACGAAAAGACACCACAGTCAGTGAGTCATCGATTTTAACCATTTCTGTTTTAAGTGAATCTACGTCTAGAAATAATGGACAGGTGTTCCAGGAAGAGCCCTAAGAATGAAGATTTTTTTAATGTCTTTTTTTGTAATTTTTTACTCTATTATTCTGTATGTAGTATTCTAAACAATGTGGTTGTATCCTTAAATGTACCTCAGGCAAAATAAAAACTGAAATGTAATAAATAACTTTTCTACACATTACCATCTTTGTTGATCTATCTGGTTCTGTCCTTACACGTGGTCTCCTTGCAACTATTATGACGTTCTTAACTTCAACATTCTTCATGAGATATTGATTGACCAACATCTTTAACACATTAGCTGTCGTTACGGTCCCCAAGTTCCTATTCCCAAGCGGCTGGGATTGTTTCGAATTTTGCCTATCTTACGAAGTCTCTAAAATGGTCATTTTTAGAAATACTTGAATCCTAGTTAGATAGATGTACATATGCAAACGTAAATAATCATTATATATATATATATATATATATATATATGATATAAAGCTGTAGGACGCCGGGAACCGTTATCGTACCAGACTGAAAAAAAATTATTTCCTACGGTATCATCTCTCGGCGTCCGATACATATTCGTGCTGTGACAGGACAGTGCACATGCATGGTGATTGAGATAATGTAGAAACATCGGTGGCCAATACTTGAATCATCTTTAACATGAATATATATATATATATATATATATATATATATATATATATATATATATATATATATATATATATATCAATTAAAAAGTTCCGATCGGTTCTCGCTGATGAACAGTCCCGGCCACCGTCACCACGTCCGTGTCCATTACTTTACTAAGCGATCCGGTGAGGGAAGAAAACAGCGAAATCAGTGCAGAGAATGCTACAGAGAACTGAGAAAGAGCCTAGGAAGTAAGGAGGCAAATAAGAAAACACGGAAAGTTTCTGATAGGACTGAAAGTATGCCCGGATTCTGTTTGCCGCACTTCAACCAGTTAGCAGTTAGCACCTTAATACTTCACATCCATTTTTCCTTTTCTTAAAATAAATCCCAATGTAATAGCGAATACCTAAATACCTATATTTCTCTTGCATTTCCACAATATGGTACTTATTATAAAGCTTCGTTTTTTTATATTCCGTTTTTATCTTAAATTTGAAATAGTATAACACGAATAATGTATAAATTATATCATGAAAATTATAATTAATGAAGAGAAGGATGGTTGGGGTGATCAGTCAGAAATAAGAAGGGAAATAAGTAATAATATTTATTTTAACATTTGTCGACTTTTCGACCTGAAGTACAGGCCTTCGTCAGGGCTAAGAAAAGAACCAGGTATGAGAAACATAAATAATGTAGGTAAAAAAAAAAATAAAGTAAAATGAAGTGGGTAGAATAATGACAATAATAAGAACTAAGAGATAAATAATAATAACCGTTACAAAGTGTGGAATGATGAAGTTTTTTTTTTTTTTTTTATTATTATATTTGTTTGTTTAGAAATATTACATTCTGTCACATCAAGGACATTTATAATAGTGTTCAGAGAAAGCACACTCACACTCTATTTACAATAAAAAAAAAAAAATAATACAGAAACTTAATAATAATAAATACAATAAAATAAAATAAAAATAAATACAATAAAATAAAATAAATGTATATAAACAAAAGAACTAACCTAATCATACACACTCGGGCTTGAGTGGAGGATCTGGCCATTGCCAAATGAATGATGAAGTAAACATAAAAAAGGTGACATAAGTATTAAAATGGTAATCTTAGAATAAAATGTAAAACAGAAAAAAGCAATATGAAGTTATATAAGAAATGAAAATAAATAGTAAAATTAAGATATTGCAAATAGAATAGATAGATAGAAAATTGAGATATTATAAAGTCTATCAAAATGTACTGACAACGTATAATACAATATTTTTTTTATTGATAAATATTACAATCTGTCTCAATAAAGGACATTTTAAATAGAGTTCTGAGAGCACATTCACACCATATTTACAAATTAAAAAATAAATAAATAAATAAAAAAAATAAGCTAACTTCAAATAATATAAAGCTACAAAAGAACAAAATAAAATATCATAGTGAGAAAAAAAAAAAAAAAAAAGTAATGAAAATAAACATCTTAGAAGCAGGCATACCTATTACACTATTTACAGTCGGCCATAGGAACTCCGAACCATACTTATCCCCCCACATGTGGAGGGAAAGCAAGGCTTCAGGAGATCCCTGCGCTTCTTCCTCAACCATTTCACTGGCATTGAAAGCCAGCGGAGATTGAGTAAGGGTGCTACAACCACGGACATTCATGGCTTGAGTGGAGAATCTGGCCATTGCCAGAACTCCAGTATATACATGTTACAAAAGGTCACGGGGCCACTGCCGTTTCAGCCTGCGAGGAGGATTGTAGGGATGAGTGGTGCTAGATAGGGATTGTGCTACGGGATTAGGGTGATGGGTAAGGTTCTGATGAAATTTGGAGAATTTGTCTGGGATAAGATCAAGAATAAATGGAATATTAAGGTCATTGTGCAGGGTTTTATTAGAGACATAGAAGGGAGCATCGACTATTGTACGGAGGACTTTGGACTGGAAGGATTGAATGCGTTTGATGTTAGAACATTTGGTTGTCCCCCACAGTTCTAGTCCGTAGGTCCTCATGGGTTTTAATATTGTCTTGTAGATCAGTAGTTTGTTTTCAATAGAAAGTTTAGATTTTCCAGTGTTCAATCAAGGATAGGTGCCGTTGCAGGTTTCTGGACGCTGTTTCAGGATCTGAGTTAGAAAATAGGATCGCAGTGTCATCAGCGAAAGTTGCCAGGAGTGTATCGGGATGGACGGGAATGTCAGCGATATAGATGATGTAAAGGATGGGACCCAAGAAGCTTCCTTGAGGAACTCCAGCCTCAATTGAATAACAGTCGGAAAATTCTGTACCACAGCGAACTCGAAAGGAGCGGTCGGAGAGGTAGGATTGGAGTATTAGGTATAAGGACTGTGGTAGATGGGATTTGAGCTTGAAGAGCAGTCCGGCGTGCCACACCCGGTCAAAAGCTTGCGTTATGTCCAAAAATGCACTCGAGCGAAACTGCTTGTTTTCAAGGGCTGAGGATATGTGGTCAACAACTCGAAGTCCTTGTTGGACGGTAGAATGTTGGGAACGGAATCCGAATTGATGGGTAGGGATTTTACGGGGGTCTATTAAGGTTAGGATTCTTTTCAGGAGGATCTTTTCAAAAATTTTTGAAAGAATTGGGAGTAGGCTAATTGGTCTATAGGATGATGTATTATTGGGAGGCCTGCCTGGTTTCAGGAAAAGGATGATGGTGGAATGTTTCCATAGGAGAGGGAAGTGGTTAGTTCGGAGGATACAATTGTATATATAGGTTAGAAATATGATGGCTTTGGATGGTAGTTGTCGTAGGATCTGCGGGGTTAGAAGGTCGTATCCAGGAGATTTACGAGGAGTGATTTTGCGTAATAGGTATTTGACCTCAGAGGGATTAAC